TCATAAGTTGAAAAACTTCATCTAAGATTGTAGATCCAATTCTATGTCAATTCATACGTATTCATAAGTTCATAAAGCTACCAAATTTAAATTATTCTTATTATTCTTCATCATTTACTTCCGTTTTAGCTTTTATTCATTGTTTCTTTGAGCCCTCTTCATAAAAAAAGGTAATTTTTTTTTTATCATCTTTGGCAATAAGCTATAGATGAGAAACTTTCTGCTTTATATAAGACAAATATTTGAGATTTGGTTCCTTTACCACTTAGTAAAAGTGTTATTGGTTGTTGTTAGGTGTATAAGATCAATACTAATTCTAATGGGTCTATTGAGCGATATAAAACTATATTAGTTGCAAAAAGATTCTTATGGTATGGATTATGAAGAGATATTTTCTTTTGTTGCAAAATTGATTACTATGTGTACTCTTATTATTGTAGTTTCAATTTGTCAATGACATATCTCTTAACTTGATGTTAAAAATATCTTTTTGAATGGAGATCTTTAAGAAGAAATTTATATGGCGTCACCTCGTGGTGTTTCACATGACTCTGGGTATGTTCTTAAGCTTAAAAAAACATTATATGGTATCAAACAAGCACCTCGTATTTGGTTTAAGAAATTCTTTACTGTGATTTCGTCTCTTGAATTTATTTCTAGTAGTCATGATTCTGCTGTTTTTATTTAGTAGATTAACACAGGTTGTATCATTTTTGTCTTTACATATTGATGACATAATTATTACTAGTAATGATATTGATAGTATTTTGGTTTTGAAAATAGAGTTGGATAGATAGTTTGAAATGAAGAATTTGAGTTATCTTTGATATTTTATAGGTATTGAGATAACTTACTCACATAAAGGTTACCATCTTTTTTAGTTAAAATATGTTGTAAATTGATTAGTACTTAAAAGTATATTTTTATCATGGTTTTATATCATCATTTTGCACTTGAAGTATCAATAACTCCTTAACTAAAGCATGTTTTATAATAATATATCTAATAATATAAGATACCTATAATTTATGGTAAATGT